TCTTCTGCACAGCAAAAGAAACAACAGTGTGAAAAGACAACGTACAGAGTGGGAGAAAAGGGTTTTTTTTTTTCTTTTTTTCAAATTCATTTTATTCAAAGATAAGATAAAGAAAAAAAGGAGAAAAACTACAAGAAAATTTCAAAGCACGTCCATTAGGGGAGGAAAATTTTTTGCAGCTACTCCTTAGGCAAGGGACTAATATTTAGAATACATGAAAACTCAAAAATATTACATCCCCCCAAAACAAAAGAGCCAGTGAGAAAATGGACAACTGAAATGAATAGATAGTTTTCAGAAGAAGTACAAATGGCCAATAAGTGGATGAAAAATTGTTCAGCATCTGGTCATTAGAGAAATGCAAATTAAAATAGCACAGGTCTGCATTACTCCAGAGAGAGTGGCCATCAACAGGAAATAAAACATTAACAAATGCAAGGTTGTTGGAGGGGGGACCCTTCGACATTATTGGTGGAAATGTAATTAGTACAAACACTATGGAAATCAGCATGGAGATGCCTCAAAAATTAAAAATCGAGACTCCATTTGACCCAACTATCCTCTCTTAGGTATCTTCCCAGAAGGGTTAAAGATGTTTGCATTACAATGGTACATGCATACCCATGTTTACGGGAACACAACTCATAAAAGCTAAGTTTTGGTAGTAGCCTACATGTCCATCAATAGGCAAATGAGTAAAGAAAATACATTTATACAATATTCAGTACTAATCTGCCACAGAGAAAAATAAATTTGAGTCATTTGTAGGAAAATGGATGCACCTTAGGTTGTAATATTGAATGATATAAATCAAACATGGGTTAAATATTGCATGGTTTCCTTTACATGAAAAACTCAAAGTATAAATAAATGAAAGCACACTAAAAGATGCATAATAAGTAATAGGGAGATTGATCTTTTAAATAAGAAGAGGGCCAAGAGGGGAGGGGAAGGGAATGTATAAAGAATTAAGATGTGTCAGGTATATGTATCAATTCCTTATGACAAATGTTATTATACACTGCAAATGTGAACAAATAAAAACAAAAATTTAAAAAACAGTCTTGGTCCTGCAGAGATATGTGCATTTTAAAGAATGAATGATCATGGTTTTTTGGGGGGGTTTTTTTTGGTATTTTTCGTTTTTATTGGTACCGGGGATCAAACTCATGACTGCCTGCTTGCAAGGCAGGCGCTTATGCCGCTGAGCTAAATCCCCAGTCCCTGATCATGTTCTTATTAGAGATCTAATTTTACTATTTTACTTGTTCAATTAATTTTGAATTTATTTTCAAGATTAAAATCCTTGGGCAAGGTGAACAAATTAATCAAACTTCTATTACTAATCACTAGCTTAAAACTTCTTTTTAAATCTTCTTTGTGTTTCAAATGTTGTATGGCACAAAGGATGTTTTAAAATTTAGAACATGGGGGCTGGGGATTTAGCTCAGCGGCATAAGCGCCTGCCTTGCAAGCAGGCAGTCGTGCGTTCAATCCCTGTTACCGATAAAAACGAAAAAGACAAAAAAAAAAAAAAAAAAATTTAGAACATGGCCAGGTGAAATGGCACACGCCGGTAAACCCAGCACTTGCGAGGCAGAAGCAGGAGGAATGCCAAGAGTTTGAGGTGAGCCAAGCCTGCATAGCAAGTTAAAGTCCAGCCTGCACCCAACAGCAAGACTCAAAAAACAAACAATAACAACAAAAAAAAAATTTTACAGTATACACATCTTTAAAAAAAAAAAAAAAGCTTTAAATAACACAAACAGCTCCTGAGCAAAAAGAACTTATTTTTCTTTCTTGTAGGTTATAACATTGGTCAAAAAATACATAGTAACATAGTTGCTGTCTACCATTATGAAAGTTAGCTTTTGTTCAAAATTATATAGTTCTTTTCACAAGATAGTTTTTACAGTAGGATACAGCAAAACATTTTGTTGCAATAGTTTGTTTGAAACCCTGATCTCCCTGTCTTGTAATTCCATGGAAGACACAACTCTCTAAGGTCTCTTGCAAACCCTGAGCTTGGTGCTCTGTCCTAGGGGGGCATAGACATGGGACCCCATCTTCCACACTGCTCAAGTCTCTCCCCCTCCAATCTTGATGATTGACAGTAATCATTTAAAAGTTAATGCTTTTTTAAAAAATAATCAATGCTTCGTGGCAAGCACTGTTAAGCATTTAATCCTTTTAAGAACTTACCCTGAAGAATCAATATGTATCATTTCTGTTTTACAGATGATGGGGGCTAAGAGAAGTTAAGTACTTTGTCTAAATTCACACAGCTAAGACTTGAGGAAGCCAGGATTCCAATATCTCAAATAGTGCTAGACTTGGTGTTGACCACATCTCAAACCCAAGACTACTTTTCCCCCACTTGGGAATCCTCTGTTTCTAAAATAAGGATTCAGTGCCTTTCTTTAATTGGACTATACTTATTGTTTTCATTTAGTTGGGAAAAGTACTGGATCCTATTGTTAGCAATCACATAAATTACTCTTATTTTAAACAAACTTCTCTGTATTATCAGGTGGGTCAAATTTTAAAAATCACAGTATTCTGTTTAAAATTTCCAGTGCATCTTATTGTCATTTTAATACTTCTAAATTTTGTGTTGAATATTATTTAAATTCTGTGCTGTTTGGCCAGATAATTTTTAATATATAAAGAATATTTTTACCCAGATGATTATGATATCACTGACTAGAAAACCAACCAATGATAAGACTTCCTTTTTTTGTGAAAAGCTACATAAGTAAAGATTAAGCCTGAGCTATCAAATAAGTGGTCACCTGAGGCCACTGAGCAATTAAAGTGTGGCTAGTTTAGACTAAGATGTGTCATTAAGTACATGAAGACTTGGGACAAAAAAGGAATGCAGGACCTTTGTTAGAACCTTTTATATCAATTATATGTTGAAAAGATAATTTTTTTTTGAGACAGGGTCTCATTCTGTAACTCAAGCTGGCCTTGAACTCACTATGTAGCCCAGGCTGGCCTCGAATTTGTGATAGTCCTCCTGCTTCAGTCTCTTCCCATTTTAACGTGGTTACTAGAAACTAAATTACATTTGGCTTCGTGTGTTTCTATTGGACACTGTCAAGTTAAGTGAATACTAGGGATTTCTACAAAAGTGTTAGTGTGAGTGGGAGCTACCAGTTCATAGCATGTATGTTCATCACTGAAGGCTTTTCTTTCCTCAGTGAAATATCTATATAATGACAATTCTACCGTTTTCTCAAAATTCTGGCCTGTTACATTACTGCTATTTTCATAAGATCTTTAGGAAAAGGCAAAAAATTATCAGATTGATTTTTCACTGCTCAGAAATGTGAGTCTGGCATAACATGCTAAGAACAAGAAACTCCAGCGTGAGTCGTACGGGTACCAGAGAAGTTGGCATGGCTCTGGGCAGTGGCCGCTTATACCGGTGGGTCACCCACCTCTCCAAGAGAAGTGATCATTTACAGCTCAGCAGCGGGAAGCCAAAGGGCACCCACGAGTTCGTTACATAATTCTCAGGAGCGTGCAGCCAAGTGTGTAGCCGCTCTGGGGAAGGGTCAGAGGCTGAAGGCGGACCGAGGTGGTCAAGCTATGTTTTGACAAGAGTGTGTGCTACAGGATGTTTGTTTGGAAAAAGACTGACGAGCCCCCTCCTCCTCCTTTTAACTGCTCAAGCATAATGCTGAATGACTTTGTTTTTAAGCTGCCTTAGCCTTGCTTTGATTAAAAAAAAAAAAAAAAAAAGCCTGAGTATTCTTTCCCTGAGAGCCCAAGTTGTTATTTTTGGAACAGAGGCTCTTAGCCTGATCTCTGTCTAAATCAATTTCTGTTCCTGGTAAGGCCATAGTCAGTGACAGCACAGCTCCCAGTGTCCTCCGTGGAGGACAGCCTTCTTGCTTCCTTGGCCAATGATGTGGCAGCCCTAGAAATTTCCATGTGCTGGTGTCCACGCAAGGGTTGGCATTCAGAGTCCACTAGATAGGTTGTGCCCCGGGGACAGCCATGACCACATGCTGTGGAGTAGCTATCTATGGGGTCTTGGAAAATGCTTGCTTCATTCAGAGTCCACACTTCCAGGTGACTCCCCTCACAGACCTACGGCAGAAATATGCCCTTTCCTGCTTAAAGTTATGCTAGGAGTCCAAACGACCTCCCCTCTCTTTTTAACTCAAGGTGCATGATGTCACTGATTTCTCAGAGCCAACCAAACCACAGGAATTTTTAAAAATTTATTTATTCATCTATCTGAGACAGGGTCTTGCTATGTGGCCCAGGCTGGCCTCGAACTCACAGTGAGTCTTTTACTTCAGGCTCCTGAGTTATAGGGTAACAGGTGTGTGCCACTATGCCTGGTGTTATAGCTGGAAGATTCCGGAGGCTCCACAGGGCACCCCAAGGGGCCATGACTCGAGTCCTCAGCACTTCTGAGAACATGTCTCAGGACTCAGAGTTCAGAGGACTTATTTAGTTAGTTCACAGCACTAGGGACTGAACCCAGGGCCTTTACACTGAGCGGCATCCCCAGTCTACCTTTTTTATTTTGAGACAGCGTCTCATTAACTCAGTAAATTGCATGGCTGGGTTCAAATTTGTGATCCTTCTACCTCAGGTTCCCAGAGTGCTGAGATTACAGGCGTTTGCCACCACCCTAGGTCAGAGCATCCCCTCCTGTGCCCTGCTCTGTGTGTTAGGCTGCAAGGCACCAAGAGAAAAGTTCTCCATTACTACAGGATTTAACATAGACCATTGGAATAACGTAAAATACTGCTTGCTCCCCTATTCTGAAAGCTGGTAGCCAATCATGCAGAGCCAGGGCACTGCAAAAAGGCCCCACCATGAATAGGCTACGAGGGGGAGCAGGTGATGCAGGCGGCTTTGACCTTGCGGATGGGAGCCACTGACCGGCTATACATAGCCAGGCAAAGCTTCTTACAGGAGAAACCTCTTTCGCACCCTCCAGGGTCCCACAGGCCGGCTGGCCAACTCGCTGCAAATCCCCCGGCAGTTAGTTAACCTCAGAAGCAGACAGCCAGCTGGTTGTCAGCCGACTACAGTCCCCACACTGTCCTCCCACCTCCCGTGATTTCCCCGGGGGACGCCCCGTGCTCAGCCATGGACATGGGGGGCCTGGACAACCTGATAGCCAACACGGCCTACCTACAGGCCCGCAAGCTGTCGGACGCCGACAGCCGTGAGCTGCGGCGGTGGCGCCGCAGCTTGGCGCTGCCCGAGCCCCAGGACTGTGCAGAGCTCCGCCGTGCGCTGGCCCCGAGCTTCGACAGCCTGTGTGAGCAGCAGCCCATCGGCCGCCGCCTCTTCCACGACTTCCTGGCCTCGGTGCCTGCATACCAAGAGGTCTCCACCTTCCTGGAAGAAGTGCAGGTCTGGGAGCTCGCCGAGCAGGGGCCCACCAAGGACCTCGCGCTGCAGGGGCTGCTGGCCACCTGCGTCCCTGCCGCAGGGCACCCACACGCCTTCCTCAGCCCGGGGCTGGTCAGCAGGTGCCAAGCAGCCGCCACCGAGGAAGAGCGCGCGGCCGTGGTGGCGCTGGCCAAGGGGGAGGCCGTGGGCTTCCTGCAGGACCAGCCTTTCAGGGACTTCCTCGCCAGCCCGTTCTACGACAGATTTCTGCAGTGGAAACTCTTTGAGATGCAGCCAATATCAGAAAAGTACTTCACTGAGTTCCGAGTGCTGGGGAAAGGCGGTTTTGGGGAGGTAAGTGTCTCTGGATACCAGACCGGAGGGTGCACACAAGTGGAGTGTTTTGCCTTTATTTGTTTGTTTGCTGTTTGTTTATTTAAACTCAAGGGAAGATATTTAGAACTAATTTCAGGGCCATGCAGGAGGATTCCGAGCTCACTCCTCCCAGCCCTTCTGAGGGGGTCACCATAAAAAGTATAATACAAATGGCGCTAGAGTCACACAGAGTGTGGGCTTGGCCAGGAATCTTTATCACGGGTCCACCTCAGGAACCCGCACTGAAATGCCCCAGCCACTTTGGAAGATTACTGCAGCCCATTTTGCCAGTGGGGAACCTTTTGCACGCAGGCAATTTGAGAAGAATGGATAGCTAAGAAAAAAATGCACCCTGAAGAAAGTCAGGGGCCTGCTTTGTGCCCCTGCTGTGCTCAGCTTTTTTTAAAGTAGAAAAAAAAAAAATAGTCACACAACATAAGATCTACCGTTAACAATTTTAAAATGTATCATTCAGTGGCTTTTAGCATGCAACAGTGTTGTGTAACCATCACCTCTGTCTGTTCCAAGACTTCTGGGTTATCCCTGGACCGGAACAATCGCTCCCCACTCCCACTTCCTCTGGCCCCTGGCAACCACTAGTCTGCTTTCTGTCCCCAGGAATAGGCCTATTCTGGGTATTTCATACCCTCTGTGATCTTTTGTATCTGGCTCCCTTCAGTGGCCGTAATGTTCTGGGGGCTCATTCACACCGTGGCACACATCGTATGCACTTTTGTGGCTGGACGATATTCCATTGTAAGAAAGTACCTCGTGCTGATGGACACTTGGGCTGCTCCCACCTTTTGATGGTTGTGCTGAGTGCTGCTGTGAACAGTCACATACAAGTATTTTGGGCTTCTTTTATGCATTTGTTAGTTTATTTATTTTGCAGTGCTGAGGATCAAACAAGTTTTTGTTTGAATACTGGTTCTCATTTCTCTTGGGTGTATGTCTACAAGGAGAAGAGCTGGATCATGTGGAGACTCTGTGATTAGTTTATTTAAGGCGCCATTGAAGTCTCTTGCACATTTTATAATCCCACAGCAAAGCGGGAGGGTTTGTTTCCCTGCACTACTGCTAACACTGGTGGTTTTCTACTTCCCACCCCCCCTTTCTTTAACTCGTGCTAGAGGTCGAACCCAGGACTTGTTCGTGTGAGGCCAGAGCCCTACCCCTGAATGCCCCCAGATCGTCTCGCCTTTTTTGTTTTATTACCATCAGCTAGTGGAATTGCAAGCAACACTGTAGCAGCCAGGTGAACAGAGGGCCAGAGGGAGGGGAAGCTGTGAGGGGGAGCGTGTCTCGGGGAAGAGAGCACCAGGCTGACCTCCATCTCCGCACATCCCTTCCTCCGCCCCTCTCCCACCGCTCTCCAGGGCCATCTGCCTTCGCCTCATCCTCTCTCTCTCTGTCTCCCTTCAGGTATGTGCCGTCCAGGTGAAAAACACTGGTAAGATGTATGCCTGTAAAAAACTCGACAAGAAGCGACTGAAGAAGAAAAATGGGGAGAAAATGGCTCTCCTGGAGAAGGAAATCCTAGAGAAGGTCAACAGCCCCTTCATCGTCTCGCTGGCCTATGCCTTTGAGAGCAAATCCCACCTCTGCCTGGTCATGAGCCTGATGAACGGGGGCGACCTCAAGTTCCACATCTATAGCATTGGCACACGGGGCCTGGCCATGAGCCGGGTGCTCTTCTATTCTGCCCAGATGGCCTGCGGACTGCTGCATCTGCACGGCCTTGGCATCGTCTACCGGGACATGAAGCCTGAGAATGTGCTGCTCGATGACCTGGGCAACTGCAGGCTGTCTGACATGGGGCTGGCCGTGCGGATCCAGGACAACAAGCCCGTCACCCAGAGGGTGAGTGGCCAGCGTGGAGTCGGTCAGGAGTGGGGAGGGCAAACAGCTGTGAACTTAACGCTTCTGGTTTTCTTTTCCCAGAAGTCCTCCTGTGTCACCTAGCTGTAGGTAGAATAGACCCTGAGCGGGGCCACATGGACTCCACTGCTCTCTGCTTGTAGTGGGAGCTCTCAGCGAGCTGGGATTCCATGGGAAGATGGAAGGAGCTGAATCCAAGGTCAAGGTCTATGTACATTCCGCTTGCAGCTTTCTGCATGCAAGCCACATTTCAGGCAAAAAAAATGAGAAAAATCATGGTGTGTTTGGGGAATAGTTGGTGATTCATGTGGTGTAAGGGAGCTTCCTGAAACACTCAGGGCTCAGCTCAAGCAGAGGCATCAGATGCTTCTTGTGGGAGGTGAAGAGATACTGAGGCATTTTAAGAGAAATGATATAGTCAGATTTGCCTCTTAAAAAGATCAACCCAACCAGCTGTAGTTGTGCACATCTGTAATCCCAGCGCTCTAGAAGGCTGAAGCAGAAGCATAACAAGTTCCAACCCAGTCTGAGCAACTTAGTGACTTATTGAGATCCTGTCTCGATTTAAAAAGATCTAGGGATACAGCTCAGGGCAAAGGCCATGGGTTCATTCCCAGAACAACAACAACAACAACAAAAGAAAAAAACGAAACAAGCAAAATAACCCAGTGCCAGTTTGGAAGGGGTCAGGAAAGCTAGCTCGGAAGCTATTGCAGTGGCCCAGGCAAGAGACAACGGTGGCTTGTGTCTATCTGTGGGACTGAAAAGGTGAGAGCAAATTGGAGCTATCAGGAGATGCAATGGGACTTTGGACCCTCAGGTAGAGGGGAGGTGACTTGCTCCAGGAACAGAAGGAGGAGCAGCACTGGGGAGGGCTGGCAAGTTCCGCTGTGCACAATCGCAATGTCTGTAAGGTCTCCAAGAACAGGTGGCTGGGGATGCTCAGTGGGCATTCAGGCCGGCGGGCCTGGGGTTGTGGAGAAGGGCCTGGGCTACACATGGGGATTTGGTATCATCATGGGCAGCAGCAGGCACGCTGAGTCACTTGATAAACAGTGGGGAAGAGAGACAGGGACGAAGCTGAGGAATGTACAAAGAAAGGCTGTGGAGGCCTACCGTGGTTCAGGAAGTAGGAGACAAGAGTGGCATAGTCATGAGAGCAGGATTTCAGCTGTGTGTCATAGAAAATCCAATGAATTAAACAAGACAGAGCTTCTTTTTCTTTCTTTCTCTTTTTTTTTTTTTATTGGTACCAGGGATCGAACTCACGACTGCCTGCTTGCAAGGCAGGCGCTTATGCCGCTGAGCTAAATCCCAAGCCCCAGCTTATTTTTCTTATGGAATGAGGTGGGAGATAAGAAACTGCCAGCCTTACGAGCAGTAGGATGATAGAACTCATGTCTTGATAACTTTTGGCATTTTCCATGTGTTACAAGATGGCTGCTCTAACCCCAGCCATCAGGACTATGTTCCACACAGGAGAAAGGAAGACATGTCAGAAATAAATGGCCTGCATACACCAAATGACTCCCCTCCCCCCACTTTTTAAGGAACTTTCCCTGTAGCCCACCTAATAGCTTCCATTTAGAATTCATTGGCTAGTACTGCTCCCTGGTCACACTTACTTGCAAGGAAAGCCAGTAGATGGCATGGTTTAATGTGGGGGGAAGAAGCAGTTCTAATTAGTATGAAAGAAAAAAGACTGGATCTTGCAAAGGTAACTTGCAGCCTCTGCCCTAGAAGCCAAAGGAGCTGAGAATTTCTGGGAGGAGGTGGCCAGCAGTGCTGAAGGCTACAGAGGTCATGCAGTGTAGGGGCTGTGGAAACTTAAGAAACTTCAGCATCCTTGGTGAGAGCACCTCGGAAGGACTGAGACCCAGCTCAGGTGGTGGAGGCTGGACTGACCTGGAAGTAGACACTGAGATGAGGGAGGAAGGATAGAGTCTGGTCAATCGAGGGCTGATGGGGAGGAGCATGGGGCTGGGAGGTGGGGAGGGTGACACAGATTCGGGTGCTAGACAAGAGCCTGGTGCTGATCCTACAGGAGACCAGAGGGCAAAGGACAGGGATGATGGGAGAACGCACATAGACAGCACCAGCTGTTAAGCGGGCTGGGACAAGGGCAGGTGGAGAGGGGCAGAGTGTTTACCTCCTTGGGACCTTAGCCTGGGACAGGCAGTGGAGAGTCTGTGTGTGCATGGCAGACAGGTGTACTGGCTCATGGGTCTGAATCCGCACTGCGCATCAGACAGAGTACAGACTGTCCTGAGTACTCCAGATGAGTGAGTCCCACCAAGTGCTGACACTCCTCCTGGCTGGAAGCTTTCAGGAGACACACACCTTTGTCTGCCTTGTGCATCCTTCTCAGGCTGCCTCTGGCTTTGCCCTGGGTCAGGAGAGTTCTTAGGACAGTTCCTCTGCTGGCTCCTGACAGCTGCAAGAAGCTGTGCGCCTTCCCTGTACTGTCCACCTTACTCAAGGGACTCAGTGGAGAGCTTGCCAGCCTCAAGACCCCTGGCCTTTTCCTCTACTGCTTGTGTACCCCATGGACCTGAGAAGTCTCATGCCCCAGTGCCCAGCCTGCCATGAGAACCCACAGGGGGATCACAGGAGGAATAGTAAGGAAAGAGAGAAAGCTTGGAAGCCAAGAAGGCAGTCTGCCCTGTCCCCTAAGTAAACTCTTCTGTTTTCTGAGCGTAGCCTGTCTCCCAAGTAGCTTTGAAGGACCTATTATATTTGCAACATATCGCAGGCTAAATGGGAAATAACTCTAACTATGACTATTCTGTAACCATGAACATTCAGTGTGATATAAAGACACTATATAAAGTTGGGCATGGTGTGCATGCTTGTAATACTAGCTACTTGGGAGGCAGAGGCAGGAGGATCACAAGTTCAAGGCCAGCCTACAAGGGCCAAGGATTTAGCTCAGCAGCCTAAGCGCCTGCCTATCAAGCACCAGGTCATGAGTTTGATCCCCAGTACAGAAAGAAAGAAAGATCCTGGGAAATACTGCAAGAGCCTGTCTTGAAATAAAATGAGGGGCTGGGGATTTAGCTCAGCGGCATAAGCGCCTGCCTTGCAAGCAGGCAGTCGTGAGTTCGATCCCTGGTACCGATAAAAAAACAAAAAAGACAAAAAAAAAAAAAAAAAAGAAAAGAAAAAGAAATAAAATGAAAAGGTGTGAGGATGTAACATTATAGCCCTTGCCCAGCATACAGAAAAGCTATGAGCTGGGTGTGGTGGCACACGCCTGTAATCCCAGCACTTGGGAGGCTGAAGCAGGAGAACTGCCATGAATTCAAGGCTACCCTGGACTACGTAAATGAGCTCAAGGCTAGTTTGCACTGCGTAGTGGGACTCTGTCTCTAAAACAAACAGAAAGGCTATGGGCTTCAACCCCTAATATCTCCCATGCACACACAAACACAAGGATACTATATAAAATAATTACTGTGAGCACTGGGGAGAATGTGGGAGGGGCCACCCTGCTTATGAAGGTTGATGTAGTATTGACCCTGCACAGTCCATCTGGAAAAGTTACAGTGGCTAGTTTTTCTCATTCTGCAACTTGTTCGGTTTAGTATAAATTGGGATTACCTTTTACTACATTTAACACAATACCAGTTTCTGGTATGGTGTTGGCAGCTCAATGATTTCAGAGACAAGATCTCTGTAAAAACCTGTTGACCTTTTCCTGCTTATCACAGGAGAAACTAAACAGTGAGTCCACACTCCAGGATAGAGAAGGGCAGAGGAACCATATCCACTAACTTATGCTTATCTGCCAAGACTATGTTGTATGCTTACCTCTAGCCATAAGGGAGAGTGAAAAATAGAGCATAGTAAACCTTGATTTTTGAGCATAATTTGGTCAGAAACATGCTTGTTATCAAAGGCACCTGTATATCAAAGCAAATTTTCTTATAAGAAATAGGGGCTGGGGATTTAGCTCAGTGGCACATGTGATTGCCTGGCAGGCACAAGGTCATGAGTTCAGTTCCTGGAACCAAAAAAAAAAAAAAAAAAAGAAATAATGGAAACTCAGATGAGTGGTTCCACAAGCCAAAAATATTCATATAAAAATGATTGCAATACTGTAATATAATACAAAATTATATATATATAAAGAAAAGTAAGTAAATTAACTTGCACTTAGCTTTGCAAACCTTCATGGCTGGTGTGGAGACAAGAGGAGGGATATCATATAGGATGATTTGTAATATCACTAAGGGAATCACTGCTGTGTATTGGCTCAGTGGAATCCTTTTCATGCAGCTTTAACAAAGAACCTATCCAATGATGCCTGCTTTTGGCTCCTTTTGAGGATTTTGTGGAAATGTGGCATTACGTTGTCCTTAACCAGATTCATCACTTCCACTCCTACAGCCTTATTCAGGTGCTGCTTTTCTGCAAAATGTTGCATGGTTTCCCACATTTTGCACATCTCCCTGATCGTTTGAAGTGAGGGATGCCTCCTCCGCCTTTCTCTCCTCTTCCTCTGCAGACAAGGCCTCCTCCAGAGCCTCTTGCTGTCAGAGGAGATGATCACCCACAACCCTGCAACCAGCGGGGAGGGATCATTGGCTCAGATGTGATCATGTGATAATGTCCGTGATTTTCAGTGATGCATTGTTTGCATTATAAGACATCACTCCTTTTTTAGAAACACTTTATTAGAAATGTTCACTCGTCTCACAGAGCACTCAAAGAATAAGTTACTTGCAATGCAAGGCTTTGCAAGCAACTTCATTCTGGGGGAAATGAGAAGTGGGATGAGGTGCTAGGTGGGATGACAGCACCTGTGACACCAGGCCCCAGGAAGAAATGGAGATGAAGATTGGTAGATCTGGTTCAATTTCCTTACCCAGATGATACAACCCATAAAAAAACTGCTACAACGGTGTGATAGACAGAATTCTAAAATCCTTTCTATACTGTAAAACCTGCCTTCTTGGAGAGTGAGCAGAACCTGTCAGTAG